GGGACAAGCCCGGGGGAGCAAGGGGGCCAGGACAGGAGTGGGGGCAGGAGGCCCGGCTCACGGATGGTGCAGTTGGGGCCAGAATAGCCCGTGCGGGTGCAGTCACATTGGTAGCGGTCAAGGCCGAAGCGGACACAGATCCCCTGGTGCTGGCATGGGTAGTAACAACAGGGGTTCACTGCAGGGGAGAAGCAGAGATCAGAGACCACTCTAGAGCCACCCCCAAGCCCCGTCCTGCCCCTGATGGGGAAGTGTGGGGCCACAAGTCACAGCTTTGTCCTAACTCACTCAGGGGCCCTCTCTGTTCCCCGAGTCATGCACGGAAGCCCCCGCGGCCCTGCCCTGTTCAGGCCCTGCTCTGGTCTCCAGCCCGTCCCCCCTCCTCCCTGCTGCCATCAGAGTCGGGCAGGGGGAGAGTCCAGACCTCAACTGTGACACCAAGGGTTTGGAAACAGCTGATAAGATGCTGCAGACACAGGCTTCTAGAGCGCTCGCTCACTTCCTGTCAGGTCAGAGCCCAGCAGGGTTTGTGGAGTCCAGAAAAGGGATAAGGAAGGCAGGGTTCTCTCAAACCAGCTACCTGGACACTAGGAAGCCAGGATCGCCCACCTTCCCTCTATTTTTGCAGAAGTGGGGTAGAGCGGGAATCATAATGCCCGCTTGCAGATGGGGAAATTGAGGCCAGACAAGGAGAACCCCACACAGGTCACCCAGCAAGTCACACCAGACCAACTGCCCTTCACTTCCAGCCCACGGTGCCCAGACTTGACAATCAAGACCAAGGAAAGAAGTTTCCCAGATCCTTGCAGACAAATGGTGGGTTTGAGGGGAGTCCCAGCTGCCTCAGCCCCTGTTCTTGATAGGCCCAGCCTGGGCCCATGTCAGACTGGATTCTGGGCTCTAGGATCTTGAGGAAGGTCAGGGAAAAGGAAACAGGAGAGCTAGGGCTGGAAAAATCTCCTAAGGAGGTGCGTGGAGCTCTGGCATCAGCCCTCCTGCCTCCTGGAGAAATCCCACCAGTAAAGTCCCTCCTGGTGTCTACTCCAGGTCTTGCTGACCACAGCCCCTTTGCTCAAATCCACACTGCTTTAGTGATTCTTCAACAGCAGAGTTAGAGACTTCTCAGAGTTCATTCGGTGTTCATTACAGCTCAGCAAGGGAAACTGAGGCTCAGGGAGAGGTGGAGGCTTGGCCAAGGACAGAGAACAGAGCTGGGCCTCCTGCAGACCCAGGTCTCCTGGATCCCGGCAGGGACTGCTTCCCTGGCCTCACACAGAAAACACCAGACTCCCTTGAGCAAACACATTTCCTCATCTAAGCTCAGAGCCAACATTACAGGGAACTCCTATCCTTTGTACAACTGATTATTGGGGGCCGAGAGGGTAACAACGGACAGCAGAAGGGTGTTGTGACCAGAGGGCATGACCCCAGGCAAGGACTGACAGCAGCACCACATGCCCAACACACACACACACACACACACACACACAGAGGCATGCCAGCAAGCAAGAAGAGAACAACAGAAATCATGCAAATAGTTTTGCTTAAGCCCTGGCAACTCCCCACGGCCTCACAATGGCATCTCTGTGGAACCCTGTAGGGATGCAGGAGGAAAGGGCCGACAGGAAGGGGCCTGGACAAAATGGTCTTATCAAGCTGACACAGGCAGACCCAGCAGACAGGACTCAGCCTCCCCTCCCACAGCCACAGGTCCAGAATGCCAAGGAGGGTGAGTGGATAATCCCCCCCAGCTGGCTCAGGGCTCTGGAACTCTCCTCATTGATTCCTCCTGCTCAGGACACGCTGCCCATCTGCCTACCTCACCTGCCCAGGAGCCCCTGGAGCCCCCGCTGCCTGGCTCCCAACCCTGGTGCACAAGGCTAAAAGCCCAGCCCTTCTCTGGGCTGTTTACCCATCCCTACCACAGCAGGGCTCTCCAAAGGACCTCAAGGGGTGTGGCAGCCCCAAGCCTTAGCCCCAAAGCCAAAAGCTCTTCTTCCTTTGCCCAGACTGCTGCTCTTCCTTAACAAACCCCTCCAGGACCACCTGACCCTCCCAGTGGGCTCATGCCTTGCTCACGCCTTGCCTCCTCCAGAAAACCTCCCCTGAATGTCCTTTGCCCTGCTCCATGTTCCCACCCTGATTGTCCTTAACCCGCTCCATGTTCCCACTCAACCTGCTCTTCTCCACCATGAGCTCCCAGGAGAGGGGGCCATACCTCCCCCAGTTTCTCCTCCGTAACACAGGCCACGCATACACGGGGGCTCAACCCAAGTCCTGGAGAGATCCAGCCGCCCAGGGGATGCAGATGTGCTGGCCACAGCTCAACACATGTTTGTGGAGTCAATAAAATGAAGCCAAGAGAATGGTGACCCCAAGCTTGGCCAAAGACACCTCCATCTTCCCAGCCCTGGAAGCTGGCTCCGAGGACTAGCCTGGAAGCTTCCCACTTCCTGCCCTAGAGTTCTGCCCGGGCTCCTGCCCACGTCCCTCTCCTGCCAAGAGAGGCTGTGTCCAGTGGAGGCTCCTCCCTCCCGGACCTGCTGTCCAACTTTCCCTCCCTCCTCCTCCATGATCTTTCTATAAACACCAGCTGCCCTAGGCAAGAAAAACTCTCCCCAGTGAGGACAATGGCTTCCACTGGGGCCCCAGGGGGTCCGGGTGGGCAGAGAGGAGCCTGAGTGCCTCTTCCCCGGCATGAGCCTGACCACACTGGACCGTCACGGTTGCCAGGAAATCCGGGGCTCTAGCAACCACTCCACAGCTTGCAGCCCCCCACACTCTTTATCTGCCCAGCAGTCCCCAGGAGGGTGGATGAGACTCCCTGTGGCACAAAGGAGGGATGTGAGGCTCACTCACAGGAGACTGGCCCCAAGCCCCACAGCTTTGAAGTTGCAGAGCCAAGACTTGGACTCCTTTCTCTTTCCCCCGCTTCTTCCCCCTGGAGGTTCTTAGGCCTGGATTTGGGAAGAGGATGGGGTTGGATCCACGAACTGGGAGTGACCTCAGAGGGATCATCATCCCCTGCCGCAACTAGAGCTCTGGAACTACTCACAAAGAAAGGCTTTCCTTCAGTCTAACTTAAATCTGGCATGCTTTCATGCCAGCTCAGTGCTGGGCTCAGTGGAGGACACCCTGTATAATAAACCATCCAGAAGGAAAACTGGGGAGATGCTGGCTCCGGATCAACCAAGTTCCCGGCACGGGGCCAGGTACCAAGTAGGTGCTGGGGAAATGTATGGAGAGAGTGGCTGCCCTTTACTGGGTGTATGTCTCTGGGCAAAGTGCCTTCCACCCTCTGGGCCTCATTTTTCCTATGTTTCCCAGAAAGGGGATGGAGCAGGCGGGCTCTAAGATGCCTCCTCTTCTGCCTCCCCTTCTTCTCTACTCTGGGTCAAGCATATTGGATCTCCAAATATCTCCATTATTTGCATCACTATGAATCCCCCACCCCATCAGCAGAGAACCTTGCAACTTGCTCTCAATGAATCCTCAAGGCACCCCAGAGGTGGAGTTAGCTGATCAGCCCACTCATCCTGCACACATTCCCACAGATGAGGGCTATCCAGTACTGCCCGGTTCCAGAACTTTCTGTGGATTCAGGCAAGGAAATGTTCCCCAGCCCAGGAGTTAGGGCTCTGGGCACAGTAGGGGAACACGATGTCCTTCAGGATGCAGACGCACCGGGTAGCAAGAGGTTGAGCTGAAATTTCCTAAGAAGAATATTTAGAGAAGCTGCAGGGGCTTGGCAGCCAAAGAGAAAAAAAAGGGGGGGGGGTGCCCTGACTAGCCAGACCTGGGCCCCAGCCCCTACACCCAGCCGAGTCAGCAGCCAGAGGCCAGCCGCCACCACCCCAGGCCCCGACAGCTGGGCCCACAGCTGGAAGAGGCGGCTGGAGAGGAAGCCCCCTCCTGGCCCACAAGCCCAGCTGGTGCTGCAGATACGAGGTGGCAGGCAGTGGGCAGTGGGGAGGCCTGGAACAGCCTGGGGTCCCCCGCCATGTGCCAGGGCTAACTGCCTCAGGACCCTCTTCCTGGCACAGAGCTCTGATTGCCAGGGCATGCCATATCCCTAGCCCAGGAGAGAACACTAAGCCAAGACCAGGGGCTGGATGAACTTGAGCATTAAGACTGCCTTGGCATGGCCTTGCCCTCCAAGCCAGACTCAATCTCCTTCCACACACGAGAAGCCACCTGCCCCCAGAGGAGTCTGCAGCCCTCATCCCCCCGGGGGCCGGCCTCTGCTGTACCTCTGAGGGCACAAACAGGCTCTGGCTTCCTGGGGCAGATGCCCAGGCATCGAGCACCTCAGTTCCCTCACAGACTTGAAGGACAAAGTACAGGCCCTGCACCCAGTTCGTCATCGTTCTTCCCTTTGACCTTGCAGCAGCCCTCCTTAAAGGCTTCCTGGCCTCCAGTCTCAGCCCCAAGTCACCTGTCCGACCCACTGAGTCCTGGCTCCTCACCCACATTCCGAGGCCATTGCCAGCCAGCACGTGCCTCTTGCCCTACTGCTCCCCATGCTCTCCTCTGCCTCCTGAGGTCCAGAGCTTTAGGCTTCAGCTCTGCCGTTGCTTCCATCAGAAAGCCCTTACAGAGTCTCATACTAAAGCCTCACTTTCCGCCACTCACTACCTCCTTCAGGGTCCAAGCAAACATCAGCACATCCGGGAAGCCCTGGGTTCCTCACACTGGAGAGGGACCTGCTCCCTCCCCCGAGCCTCACATACCCTCGTGTGTCCCTCAGTCATGGCCCTGACCCTCTCGGAGAACAGTCTCTTAGCATTTCTGACTCCCTGAGAGATGGTGGGCCCCTCCCAGCGCCGTGCCTCCAAGTCCAGCCAAAAACTTAAATCAAGCCCTTGGGAATGTTTGTGGAGTGAAAAGAATAATTCCACTTAAACACTTATGATATAAAGATAAGTCCAAAAGACAAAAACAAAAGGGCACAGACCAGGGCTCGCTGGGCGTTCATGAACACACAGGAAGACAGGCGGGCCAGCCCTTCGTACCTTGGGGGAGGGGTCGTGGATGGGGCCCCAGAGGAAGTGCTGTGCCGATCCAGGGGCTGACAAGTCCAGTCACTGGGGCAACCTGATCAGCCCCGGGCTCTGCTGCTGGGGTCTCAGATACATGGGCCCTCCCCTCTGGGCCTCAGCTCTCCTTCTCTAGAATGGGGGTGACACATCTCCCTGGCAGGGCTGCTATGAGCACCAAGAAGTGGAGGCCCATAGCAGGGCTTTGTAAACTGTAAAGTGCTGGCCACACGAGCCCTCTTTCTCTTTTTCCCACCCACTGGTCCTTTCCTCCTACCCAAATTCTGGAGCACCTTCCACCTTCTTCCTGGCTTCATCAAATGCCACCCACTCAAACCCTTTCCTCTAGGAAACCTGGTCTGATTCACATCTTTCTTCTCTCCTCTGAGCACCAAATCCTTACCGCAACACAACAGAAAGCTCAGACCCCTCTCCCCACCCCACCCCAGTCCTCTCTTGCCCCCATTTTACAGATAGGAAGTGGAGACCCAGAGAGGGATGGATCATACAGCCAGGTGGCGGAGGAAGCTATGTCCAGGCCTCGCACACCTGCACGCGTGCACACACGCACACATACACATGCCGGCGGTAAGCTGGGGGAGGGAGGCTGGCTGAGAGGGAGGAGCTGAGTTCCTTCACCTGGAACCTGGTACATGCATGGTGGGGGGCAGGAGTGGTGGAATTTTGCTGGATCTGACTTTCCTCATCATCTTCTGGGTGATGAAACCAGGGTCCACGGAGGGGAGTGACGGGGGGGGGGTGCTCTCTATGGAAAGACCTTGCAAAGTGCCTAGAGTAAGACAGATCAAGTTCAAACCTTTAGCTCACCATGTGCTGTGTGAGCTAGAGAGAATTATGGCGCCTACCCGAGCCTAAATAACCTGCCCGGGGGGAGGGGGGGACCTCAGAGCTGAGGATTTAAACCTCAGGGGAAGCAACCCAGCTCTGTAAATATATTTCCACCTTGATTCTTTGCCAGAATGACTGGTGTCCCCAGGACCCTCATCAAGGGAGATCTTCTCCCCTGGGGCTGAGAATCCCCATGGGGCCCCAGAAAGTTAGAGGCTGGAGAGACAGAACTTGCCAGAGGGTTTTCCCCCTGGTGCCTGCAGCTTCCTGGGAAAGAGTCCCCCCACTCCGCCCTTCGCCCGCAGAAAACAGCGGGGTTGGTGGGGGGGGGGAGGAAGGGGCTTGGACAGCTTGGGACCCAGAACAGGTGAGGGAGCTGGAGAGGGGCTGTCCCTTCTCACAAGACCCCAGTCTGCCCTCTCCCCAGAAAACACCCTGTAGCGCCCTAGGCAAGGCCACACACACCCGGGGAGGGGGGGGTCTTCAGAGAGCCCCTCTCCCACCAACAGCCTCAGCGCCCTCCCCCAGCCCGGGCACGGAGAGCAGAAGGGGGAAGCTGGGTCGGCCCCAGGGCAGAGCAGGGGGAGGGGCCAGGCGAGGGCGCAGGGCTGAGGGCTGCCAGGGGGCAAGGAGGGGGCCGCCTACCCGGCGCGGGCGTCCGGGGGTCCGCGGGCAGGACCTGGGGCGGCGGCAGCAGCAGCAGCAGGAGCAGCGGGAACCGGAGCGAGCGACTCCTCCCTGCCGAGTGAGAGAGATTAGCGCGGAGCCTGGCCGTCGAGGCTCCACCCGGAGGCAAAGAGGTTTCCCCGGGGGCATCAGGGTCGGACTCACGCATAGTTCGAGGAGGCTGGTGCGTGTGGGATGCAGGCGGCCGGCTCCTGGGGTGTGTCTCTGCCGGGGAGCTCCGGCCCGTCCCCCCCCCCATTCCCTGGCTCCACCTCTCCAGGCCGCTGTCACCTCGGCAGCGCCGCCGCCCACTTCCTCCGTTCCCGCCCTAGCCAAAACAGTTTATTAATTATTCTGATTGCAGCGAAAGCGGTTTTTCACCCGAGATCCTTGAGGCACTTGTGTGGGAAACTGAGGCCCAGAGATGATGTGCAACGCTGAGGTCACCCAAGGCTCCAAGGCAGAACCGAGAGTCTCCGGCTTGAAGCGGGGGCCTGAACCACACACCTCGGCCCCCAGAGAGGAAAGGGGGCTCGACAAGGAGCAGTCCAGGCTGGCCTGCGCATTGTTTCTGGATGGGAAACCCACTACCCTCGACAGATCTAGAGGCTCTGCCCTCTGAGGCCACATGTCTGCCTAAACCTCTGCTGCCAGAAATGAACAGGATAGGCTCCCAGTGCAGGAGACTTGAGCTCAAATCCAGACTCACAGCTTACTAGCTGTGTCACCTTGGACCGGGTGTTTACCCTTTCTGGTCTTCAGCATTCTCATCTGCAGAGCGGGGATACTCATAAGCAGCATCCCCGAGGATTGATCTAAGATGCAGTGAGATCATGCACACAAGTCTACTGACGCAATGATGGGTTATTAGGAGGCATTGTTTTCAGAGATCTCCCAACTCCGATTTCATGGCTGGCCAGAGTTGGCACTCTAGCCGGACTCACATCTACCTGCGGAGTTTTCAGAACACCAACATCCGGTACCTCGATTTTATAGCTGGGGCAACAGATCCTAGCAGGGGGCGGGATGGGGCGCTGGGACACACAGAGTCTCCTGGTCCCCACACCCACAAATTTTCTCCCTCAGTCTCCCCAGCACACTGAACCGTCCTGTGGGCTCCACTTCTGAGTCCTTGTGCCAGTTCCCAGGGTGGGAGGGTGAGAGCCACAGGGGCAGGGTGGGAACCATGCCAGGTGGGAGAGGTGAGATGTGCTGGGAAACCCCTCCTATGTCCCCACCCGAGCTGTTCCCGTGCTCCGCTGGGACAAAAGCCAGCTGCCCCAGGGGGACAGAGCAAGCCAGGGCAGACCTGGGGAGGGAGTGGGGCAGAGAGAGGGCCTAGGGCCCTGGGGTGCTGGGACAGGCTTCAGCTTCCCCCCACCCACACCCCCATCCCCAACCACAGATCCAGGGCCCCCTGGCGAGGAGCCGTAAGTCATGGATAATCAGCAAAAGGGACGGGGTCTGGGGAGAGATTCGAGGGTCCAAGTACCAAAGAAAAGGGGGCTTTCTGGTGCTAAAGAAAGAGAGAAGAGCTTGAATGAGACCCATTTCTGCTACCAGGTCCTCCCTCCCTTAAGGCTCTGGGCCCAGCAAGTTCCCCGCCTGGCCTTTCTGCTGACTCCTTATTCCCAAGCCAGCTACTAGACTCAAAGGGACAAACGCTTGGGTGGTCCTAGCCTTGGGAAAAGAGCCTGAGGCTGGGAGTCAGGAGACCCGAATTCAAAGCTCAGTTCTTCCAGGGCCTGACTTTAGACACGTCTCTGCCCCACTCCAGGCGGCCGCTTCCCTGTCCGAACAATATAAAGGTCAAATCAGATGGTCTCTGAGAACGGTCTGGCATGGAGTGACTGGGCTCTCACTGTGGCCAGACTCTATGACTGGTGCTGGAGATACCCAGATGGATGCGATGAAGGAGAGGACGGAGGTGAGACAGTGGGCAGTCCTCCAGGGACAGGGTCATACTGACATATGGGGGAGGGGAAAGCGAGATTAATGATGGCAGAAGAGGCGTCAGGGCTTGGTGACTGATTGGCACCTGAAGGAAAGAGAGGTGCTGAGGAGGGCACCTAGGTTTCTGGCTTGATGCTGGCAATCATACCCAGGGACGGAATCAGGGAGGGGAGCAGGCTGGGGGAGATGGCATTTGAATTTGGACTCATTCTGTTGGGTCCATCTGGGCAGCAAGGTCCAGCATGCAACCGGAAACACAAAGGAGAGGTCCGGGCCGGCCTTTGCCCCAGGCCCCGGGAAAGGCCACCACACAGTGTCACTTTTCCTTGTCCCTCTAGTCCAAAGCCTGTGGCCTCAACATCTGGGGAGTTTTCCTAGTACTCGGGTTGGTGAGCTTCCACTGGCTGGGCAAGGCCCAACTCCAGTGTCCCCTGACACACCGCCTCCCCCTCTCTCTGTCCTCCCAGGAAATTCCTGTGACTTCTCTGCCCACAGCAGGCTTCACGGCACGCTGGATCGTGTTGAGCGGCGGAAGACTTGGTCACTCTTGTATCCCCAGGACCAAACACAAGCTCTGGCCTACAGAAGATGCCTGCAAATGTTGTTTGATTGAATAAAATATGAGTGATTGAATGAATGAAAAGATACAGACCTTCTACAAGTGGGTGAGGGTCCAAGGCCAGCTTCATCAGGTGACCGCCAACCCATCCATCTGCAGTGACCACCCCCAGAAAAGGAAGTGCCCGGCCTCAAGGTTCCCTGTCTTCCCCGGCGGGGCCCATTGGCCAGCACCCCCAACACTCACAGGGCCAGCTCCCCCTGGGCCCTGATCCCCTCCCAGCTGCAGCGGCACCCTCTTCCCTCTTTCCTGTACCCCGCTGGCAATGTGGGTCAGGGTTTCTCCCTCTCTGCCTACCCCTACCTCGGGCTTCTGGCAACCCTCCCAGAGACTCCAGCTAGGGCCTAGATTTCAATGCCCCTGGAGAAGTCTTGCCCCTGCTGGGTGCCACCCACTATTTGGAAATCCAGAGCTGACTCCTACCTGAATCATACAGGGACCCAGCCCCACCCAGCCCCACCTCTGGAGGCAGCTTCTCAGGCCGGAAAGCCCTGGAATCAACCCAACAGCTCTCCAAATCCCACCTCCCCTGCCCCCACCCAAACTCCTGATCAGCTCTAAGCCCTCAACCGTAGGCAGCCGACTGCCCCTCTTGGGCTTCAGTTTCCCCATCTGTAAAATGGGGTTAATAATTCTCCTCTCGCAAGAGTTACTGTGAGAACAAAATAAGATGGTCTATGTGAGCATCCCCAACCTCCCATAGGAGCTCAATGGAAATGCCTTATCTGCTTCCCCTTTTGTTCCTCACCCGAGCTGGAGGGTTTCATGCAAACTTCTCCTTCTCCTTCGTACCTAATTTACCTGTGCCAGGCCATGGCTGGGCATTGGCAGTAATAATAAAAATTGCTGGTACTTCTCGAGTACCTACTCGGTGGCAGGCGGAGTGCCAGGTACCTTGCCTGCACCATCACCTGTCATTTTTTCGACAGCCTTATAGGGTCTGATCACCTCCCATTTTACACAGACAAGAAACTGGGGCCCAGAGAGCTGAAATGACTTGTCCAAGGTGGCATAACTAGTAAAGGCTAGGTGTCAAGGTCCAGTTCCTGTGTTCTGGAAGAGCAGGTATGGGACACCTCAGCCCCAGCAGAACCAGCCAGCGTGTGGAGTTAGTGAAGAAGCAGCAGAAATGGGGTGGGGATGGTGGGGGGCTGTTTACCTCCCTTTCTCACTGAAGTCCTCACAACAGCTCCAAGAGAAAGGTATCATTAGCTCCACTGCAAAAGAGGAAACTGAGGCTCAAGGACTTCCCTAGTTCTTACAGCGAGGAGGAGGAGAAAGAGGATGAGGAAGAATTATAACCGAGGTGGGAACACATGCTGTGTAGCACACATTATGCTGAGGGGTCCTGGCACACCCATCTCCTCTCTAACTCACAACAGCTCCATGAGATAAGTTTTGTTCTTGTCCCCACTTTTGCAAACAGGAAAAATAACTTGCTAAAGGCCACAGGACAGGAGGTGGTGGAGGGAGGCTCTGAGCTCTGGTCGGCCTGATGTTGACATCCGCAAGCTTCATGCCCCGCTACACTCCATCCCTGGCTTTCTTGGATCCTAAACCCTGAATCTTTAAAACAAACACTCAAATCCTGGCAGAGGCAGGCCAAAAAGACAGATAAACAAGCAGGAGGTGGGTGAGTGGAGTATCCCCAAGCTCCTCTGGGGAGTTTCCACTGCAGGGTCCCCTGTCCTAGGGACCTCAGCAGTAAGCAGCTGGTGCCATCGGGTCTCTGATCTGCACAGGATGACTGAGCGGTCACGCCACCGGCATCCAAGCCAGCCCACCCCCACCAACAGCGTAATCTGCAGAGCATCAGACACCAGCTCCTGAGATCTGGGGGCCCAGCTGCCTGTGACTAAAGAGGAAGGGCGGGAGGACCCAGGCTGTCTTGCTAAGAGACGACAGCTCCTGCTGGGGCTGGAAAGTCTCAGTCTCCGCATCCCTCTCCTCCTCCACCACAGTTGAAGGAAGAGAAGCCCCTGGCATAGCCTTCCTTTGGTGTGCGAAATATCATCCTGACTCTGCCCAGAAAATTCAGTAGCTCCCATGGCCCCCAGACCTTAGCCCAGCCTTCAAATCTCACCATTCCCTGAGCAGCAGGTGCCATAGAAAGAGCCCCAATAGGGAGACCCAGAAGATTCAGTTATAGTAACACAACCTCCTGAACTCGCTGTGTGACCTTGGGCACGTCACTCACCCTCTTGGACCTCAGTTTCCCTACTTGTTAAATGAGTCTGTTGAATTAGATGTGTGAGGGTGGGGAGCAGAGCTTTTGGAACCAAGCAGAACCGGATTTGGAGCCCAGCTTCATTATTCTTGCTGTGTGACTGGGAGCCTGTCCCACTGTTTCCTCATCTGAAAATAAGAACAAGAATAATATCTATCTCCTGGGACCACTGTGAGGATAAGACCCCTTAGCAAAATTCCCGGCATTCAGGAAGCGCTTGGTCAAGGATCACTATCGGTGGAATTCTTATACTTAATAATTGTATAACTAATCCAGTTCTGTCAGCGTGGTCCCAGATGTGAAAAAAAAACCTTGTTCTGGACACAAAAAAGAATATAAGGGGGAACGGTTGCAGTCAAGGGCTAGCCTCGTGCACCAGCAATGCATTTGGCCACATATAACAATGTCCCGAACATGGAAGCTGGAGAGAAGGAGGAAATTCTTCTCGCAGGCT